ACCATCAGTCATTACATCTTGTTAGTGTCCAACCATCAGTCATTACATCTTGTTAGTCCAACCATCAAACATAACATCTTGTCAGTCATTACATCTTGTCAGCACCCAACCATCAGTAATTACATCTTGTTAGTGTCCAACCACCAGTAATTACATCTGGTTAGTCGAACCATCAGACATTACATCTTGTCAGTCATTACATCTTGTAATTCATTACATCTTGTTAGTCATTACATCTTGTAATTCATTACATATTGTTAGTTCTACCATCAGTCATTACATCTTGTTAGTTCTACCATCAGTCATTACATCTTGTTAGTGTCCAACCATCAGTCATTACATCTTGTTAGTCCAACCACCAGTCATTACATATTGTAAGTCCAACCATCAGTCATTCATCTTGTTAGTGTCCAACCATCAGTCATTACATCTTGTTAGTCAAACCATCAGTCATTACATCTTGTTAGTCGAACCATCAAACATAACATCTTGTCAGTCATTACATCTTGTCAGCACCCAACCATCAGTAATTACATCTTGCTAGTCCAACCATCAGTCATTACATCTTGTTAGTGTCCAACCACCAGTCGTTACATCTTGTTAGTCGAACCATCAGACATTACATCTTGTCAGTCATTACATCTTGTAATTCATTACATCTTGTTAGTTCTACCATCAGTCATTACATCTTGTTAGTGTCCAACCATCAGTCATTACATCTTGCTAGTCCAACCATCAGCCATTACATCTTGTTAGTGTCCAACCATCAGTCATTACATCTTGTTAGTATCCAACCATCAGTCATTACATCTTGTAATTAAATCTTGTTAGTTCAACCATCAGTCATTACATCTTGTTAGTTCAACCATCAGTCATTACATCTTGCTAGTGCAACCATCAGTCATTACATCTTGTTAGTGTCCAGCCATCAGTCATTACATCTTGTTATTTGAACCATCAGACATTGCATCTTGTCAGTCATTACATCTTGTCAGCACCCAACCATCAGTAATTACATCTTGCTAGTCCAACCATCAGTCATTACAACTTGTTAGTGTCCAACCACCAGTCATTACATCTTGTTAGTCGAAACATCAGACATTACATCTT